AAATAGGAAGGTAGAATGCTAAGTGGGGAAGAAACTATGATACACCATGTAATTGAAAGATAGTTCTCCAAAGCATTTAAAGTCCACAGTGGTTCTGACTGGCTAATCTCAATATACTCCTTTGATTTTTTAAGATTTTGTTTGTTTGTTTGTTTTCCAAGAGAGGGTTTCTCTGTGTAGGACTGACTCTCCTGGACTGACTTTGTAGACCAGGCTGGCCTTGAACTCAGAGAGATCCCCCTGCCTCTGCCTCCCAGAGTGCTGGGATTAGAGGTGTGCACCACCACCACCCACCTCAATATACTCCTTTGAAATATATGTTTTAAGGATAGAATCTTAGTGTTGCGCAAATGGGTTCATGAACCTTTACTGGGATATTACCAGAGCAATACGATGAATTTCAACTGTATGTACAGGAGGTTCTGCAGAGCTGTGGATCTCAAGATGATACCAGATTTTTAGAGTTTTAACCTTTTCATCTGAAAATAAAACAAAAGAAAAACTAAATAAACAACAAGCAAGCACTTTTTAATATGGGCCTCAGAATTCTATGCAAATTTGATATTCATAAACATACCATTCTCAAACTTTCTTTCCTTTCTATGTTTTTCCTTTTTTTCTTGCACTCACTATGTAGCCCGCGATGAAATTAAACTCCCCACCATTCTCATGTCTTAGAGTCTCGAATGCTGGAATTGCAGGCATGCACCACAATGGCTGGCATTTAAGTCACTCCAATTAGATTTACCAGGAAATCTGAGAACATCAGGAGCTGCTTTCATTACAGAGGTAAGCAGTGAGAGCATCCCCATTCTGTATGGGTAGGCAAATACGCAATGCTCCTGCTTTTATGCCTATTTCAGTAATTCATTCTCTTCCTACCACAATAAACTTAAGAAGCTTTTAATTTTAACTCAAGCATTAATGCTCCAATGAAAAAATACTTTAGCTTCTAAAACATTCGTAGATTTATACAAAGAAATATCTAAATAATGAACTGCAATGAAGAACTTTTCATTCCTAGTCATACAAAAATTTAGTTTAAGGACAGGGTCAGGAGTATGAAGTCCAGTTTCTATGGAAGTAGTTAAAAACCCTAGCAATTTAAATCAAAGAAAGCTAGAAAGAGGTTTTGGCAAAGTAGAAAGATGATGTTTATGTCAGAATTCCCAGTTTTTCATTAGAGCAGAAAATTCTGCCACTGTTGATGCCCACACTCTGGCACCAAAAACTGAAATCTCGATCTGCCACAAGGTCCCTTCACAGGAGGGTGCTGTACTTGCACCAAATTCACTTTCTTTCTGTCCAGGTGTTTCTGACTGTGTAGCTTCTCATTTCTGGTTTTGGTTTTTCGATGTTGAGGTACCTCAGGTTTAGCTGGATCCTGAGGAAACGCTATTCCTAATTGTTTGAGAAAGAGCCAGATTGATTTCCAAAGTGGTTGTACAAATTTACATTCCAACCAGCAATGGAGGAGGGTTCCCCTTTCTCCATATCCTCTCCAGCATGTGTTGTCACTTGAGTTTTTCATCTTACCCATTCTGATGGGTGTAAGTTGAAATCTCAGGGTCGTTTTAATTTGCATCTCTCTGATGGCTAAGGACATGGAGCATCTCTTTAAGTGTTTCTCTGCTATTCGATATTCCTCTATTGAGAATTCTCTGTTTAGCTTTGTACCCCATTTTTAATTGGATTATTTGATTTGTTGCTTTTTAACTTCTTTAGTTCTTTATATTCTGGATATTAGCCCTCTGTCAGATATAGGGTTGGTGAAGATCCTTTCCCAGTCTGTAGGCTGTCGTTTTGTTCTGATGACAATGTCTTTTGCTTTACATAAGCTTTTCAGTTTCATGAGGTCCCATTTATCAACTGTTGCTCTAAGACCCTGTGCTGTTGGTGTTCTGTTCAGGAAGTTGTCTCCTGTGCCAATGAGTTCCAAGGTCTTCCCCACTTTTTCTTCTAACCGATTTAGAGTATCTGTTTTTATGTTAGGTCTTTGATCCACTTGGGGTTTAGTTTTGTATATATAAAATTAAATCTGAAATAATACAATATTCTGACAGGCATATGCAACAGAAATTGAGATATGTATTATACACTGAAACTATATTTTTAACTTAAAGATGAATGATGATCAGGATTTCCATAGTGCAATAACAAAATACACTATTGTACAAAGATTACCTGAGTGTTTCTCAAAAGTGAGTGTAGATGGTGTTTCCTGAGAAGAGATGTTAAGACAATAAATGAACTTCTGGAGGTATCTCCATTCCTGACCTCAAGCTCTACTACCTACTCTGTTGTGCATTATGCCTATGCCTTGTATTAATGTATCCATTGCCTTTGATATATTTATTGCTTATCTTGCAAAATTCTTTTAGTTTTACTTTCAATTTATATGTCTATATATTTAAAGGGCATTTAAAAAATTCTGTTGGTTATCAAACTCAGAAGTTTATGCATACTAAGGAAATCAACCATTGAAATTGTGAGGATTTGAATGAGAATGGCCTTTATATGCTTATACTTTTGAATACTTGGTCCTCACTTAGTGATACTGTTTGGGTAGGATTAGGATTAGTTGGAAGAGGTATGTCACTGGGAGCAGGCTTTGAGGTTTCAAAACCCCTCACTATCCCCAGTGCTGTTTCTCTGCTTCCTGCTTGTGGTTCAAGATGTGAGCTCTCCCCCTTGCTATTCCAGTTGCCATGCCTACTGTCTCCTAGCCATGGTGGACCCTCATGATACCAGAAGCTCAAATAAACTCTTCCTTATGTAAGTTGACTTGGCCAAGATGTTTTTAGTACAGCAGTAGTAAAGTAACTAATGCACCTGTTAAAATATAGTCTGGGCCAGGTGTGGTGGTGCATGCCTCTAATCTCAGCAGTCAGGATGCAGAAGTGGGTGGATCGCTGTGAGTCTGAGGCTAGCCTGGTCTAGATGGCAAGTTCCAGCCCAGCCAAGACTACATAATAAGACTTTGTCTGTAAAGTAAAATATAATAAAATAATTCAATAGTCCTTGCATTTAAATTAGCATTTATAGTTAATATGAGATAATAAAGTTTTGGAAGAAATAGTCCGTGTTCCCCTTACTTTGGAAAACTACTTGGTTACTGAGCTATCACGGGCCACATCCGAGCAGAAGTTCTAGGTTATATCCATAGATGGTCCTTGGTTGAGTGTCAGTCTCAGAAAAGACCCTGTGCCCAGATATGTTTGGTCCTTGTAGATCTCAAGGGCAGGCTGTTTGACCCCCCCCCCTGGGGAGGAGCAGTCTGTTAGGCCACAGAGGAGGACTTTGCAGCCAGCCCTGAAGATACCTGATAAAACAGGGTCAGATGAAAGGGGAGGAGGTCCTCCCCTATCAGTGGACTTGGAAAGGGGCAGGGAGGAGACCAGGGAGGGAGTGTGGGGTTGGGGAGGGAATGAGGGAGCGGGATACAGCTGGGACACAGAGTTAACAAAATGTAACTAAAAATAATAATAATAATAATAATAATAATAATAATAAAAATAAATAAATTAAAAAAAAGTATAATAAAAAAATAAAGTTTTGGAAGAAGTTTATTATCTTATTCCGTGTTTCCTGTTTGACTCTGTTCTTTGCTTCTACTTACTTGCTTGCTCCTTTCCTTTTTTGAACATTATATTCTACCTACTCTGTTGGCTTTATATTTATTCAGTTTTTTTTGTCGTATTGGAGTTTGAACCCAGAGTCCCAGGCATGCCAAGTTAAGTGTGTTCTGCCATTAACTTTCACTCCTAGCCCTCTAGTGACTCCTTAGCTATAACTATAATTGTGCAAATTATTTCAGTGGGAAATTCTGATAGAGATATCAAAACTTTTGACATCATAGATTTTAATTCACCATTTAAAGTATCCCACAAGAAATTTCATTTTTAACATTTATTGTGTGTGTGTGTGTGTGTGTGTGTGTGTGTGTGTGAGTATGTGTGCTTGCCTGCTCCATGGTGCTCGTGTGAAGAACAAAGGACAACTTGCTGTAGAAGGTTTCACCTTCTACTACGTGGGTCCTGGAGCTCAAACTGAGGATTTCAGGCTTAGAAGCAAGTGCTTTTAGCTTCTGAGCCATCTTGCCTATGCCACAAGACCTTTTAATAAGCCTCAAAACAGTTTCAAGCCTACAGAAGCGTTTAAAGCACAATACAAAGAACATTACCCACTCCCACACTCTCTTATTTTAGATACTTCTATGTGTATTTTCTAAAGTAGAAAGCTATAATATCACCACCAACATTAGATTATACCATTGCCATTGCTACCATGCCATTCAAGTTTTGCCAGTTTTCCTGTAGTGTCCTTAAACCAGAAAATTTAATTCAGAAGCAAGTGTTGCATTTTATTTTAACGTCTATTCATGTCCTTCAATTTTCAATACTTGAAGATAATAGTCTTGTTATCTTTTGAAATGCTTCATAACTTGGGTTTTTCTGACATTTCCTCATGATTATATTCTAGCTATGAAATTTGGGCAGTAACATCAAAGAAATAATGCTTTCTTCTTTCATCTTACTAGGGAGCACGTTATTTCACTGTTTAATTATTTTTTTAAAAAGATATATTTTTTATTTTTTAAAAACTATCCGTGTTGGGATAAGACCCTTGGGACTAGAGGTATTGGATCCCCTGGAACTGGAGTCAGGCCATTGTGAGCCGTCGGATGTGGGTGCTTGGAACTGAAGTCAGATTATCTGCAAGAACAAGTGCTCTTAACTGCTGAGCAATCTCTCCAGTCTATTGTATTTTTTATTACTGATGATGTTCTCTTTGTTCAGTTGATTAAGGCGACTTTCTTTGCATTTTTTTCTGAAGTTATTATTTTTTTTTTGTCTTTGCCAGCTCTAAGTATCTGGCAGAAAGAAACTTTGACTCTTTCTATGTCTGTTTATTAATCATCTGTTTCTACAGCTAATGAGTGAACACACACACACACACACACACACAAACACATAAAACTTACTGTTTTTATTTTTCTGGGGAAAGCACGTGTTTCTGCACAACCACAAATTATACAGTCAAAATGTTCACATTTAAGGAAATCATAGGGGACAGCACACCCAGAGTGCAACAGAGGAGCTTCACCCAGAGAAAACCACCTTCATAATCATGGTATCTTCCATGCCAGGTAAGTGCCTCATCATTCATTCATGTCAATGTGGACTCATGGTTTTCTACTTCATTTAATACTTTTCAGTCTGTTAATTGTCATGTTCAAATTCACCGTAGGGACACCCCTCCTTTATTTATTTATTTTTTTTTAAGCTAGCTCCTGTGTCTTCTCAACATGTTCCCAAATCAGTTGAACAATTCTTCATTTTTAGGGACAAAATAAAGTTTCAAGCCCATTTTATTTAATGCCTAAACCCTTTGGAATTAGTGTTTTCTGCAAAGAATCTTGGTTCTTTTAGGTGGGGAATGTTATTTATAGACCAAGATTTAGGTGCCAAGTATTCTTATTGTTATTAGTGTGTTGCTACTTCTAGGCCTTCTCAATGGATTAACAGTAAGAAACCTGTTTCCTTAATATAATCCTTCTGCATATATGGTGGTTTGAACGAGAATATCCTCCATAGGCTCATCAGGTATTTGAACACTTGCCTCAGTTGATGATGATATTTGGGAAGACTTGGCCTTGTTGGAGGAAGTATGTCACAGAGGTTGATCTTTGAGATTTCAAAGCCTCCTGTCATGCCCAGTGCACAAGCGTTCTCCATGCCTTCTGTATTTTATACTTTCCATTCAAGATGTGCCCCCCCAGCTTCTGCTCCAGCCACCATATCTGCTGCTTGCTTCCATGACTCCCTACCATGACAGACACTTACCCTTCTTGAACCACAGCCCAAATAAACCCTTTATTTTATAAATTGCCTTGATCATGGTGTTTTATCACAGCAGTAGGAAAATACCAGGTACAGCAAGTAACCAATCATACATTGCTGAAATTATCCTTTATATTATGAATATGTTAACTGTAATTATTTAAAATCAACATCTGAGAATTTTCATATCTGAATCATTTTAATTCTATGGGCATTGTCCATTTTCTCTTGATTTTGGCTAGTGGTTATCTTTTTGTATGGCCCATTTTCACTAGTAATTAACTGTGGAACACAATATAAATTGGGGAAGAGCTGCTGTTTTTTGATACTCTTTTCTTCTATATGGTATTTAGTTTTCTTCCTTTGGCAAGAACACAAGTCAAGAATAAAGGACCATCTTGATTTTATTTATTTATTTTGGTTTGGGGAACAAAAATATGTAGCCCTAGCTGTCCTAGAACTTGCTCTGTAGATCAGGCCTTTAATTCATGGAGATCCACCTGCCTTTGCTGTCTGGGTGCGGGGATTAAAGGCACTGTGCTGCCACCACCCGACCATCTTTTTTTTTTTAATTTTTTTATTAATTACACTTCATTCATTTTGTATCCCCCCATAAGCCCCTCCCTCCTCCCCTCCCGAACCCACCCTCCCTTCCCTTTCTGCATGCATGCCACTCCTCAAGTCCACTGATAGGGGAGGACCTCCTCTCCTTCCTTCTGATCTTAGTCTATCAGTTCTCATCAAAAGTGGCTGCATTGTCCTCTACGGTGGCCTGGTAAGGCTGCTCCCCCCTCAGGGGGAGGTGATCAACGAACAGGCCAATCAGATTATGTCAGAGACAGTCCCTCTTCCCATTAGTATGTAACCCACTTGGACACTGAACTGCCATGGGCTACACCTGTGTAGGGGTTCTATTTATTCTCTCGTATATTACATTCCGACAGTTTCCTCCCCTCCTCTCCTTCCAGTTCTTTCTCCTTGCCTCCTCCTTTCCATAGCATCCACTCCTCCATTTCTCTTCAGAAAAGGGCAGGCCTTCCAGGAATATCAACTAACCATAGCATGTTAAGTTGCAGTCAGACTAGGCACTGCCCCTCATGTTGAGAAGCAGGCAAAAGAGTCCGAGACAGTCCCTGCTCCCACTGTTAGGAATCTCACAGGAAGACTAAGCTATATAACCATAAAACATACACAGAGGGCCTTGGTCAGACCCATGCAGGCACTCTCTGTGAGCCCCTATGAGCTTAAGTTAGTTTATCTATGGGTTTTCTTATGCCTTTGACTCTTCTGGCTCCTAGTCTTTCCTCCCCCTCTTCACAGGATTCCCTGAGCTACACCTAATGTTTTGCTGTGGGTCTCTGCATCTGTTTCCATCAGTTGCTGGATGGAGCATCTTTGATGACAATTGGACTAGACACCAATCTATGAGTATAGCAGAATATCTTTGGGAATCATTTTATTGACTTTTTTTTTTTTTTTTTTTTTTTTTTTTTTTTTTTTTTTTTTTTTTTTGCCAGTCATGGTTGGTTCTATCGTAGGTCTCTGGGCTATCAAGCCTCTGGTTCATGGCCTTCCAGTCAGTGTCATGGCATGGGTCTCAAGCTGGGCCAGTCATTGATTGACCTCTCCCATAGTTTTTGTGCTGCCTTCACCCTAGCAAATTTGTAGGCAGGACACATTGTAGATTGAAGGTTTTGTGGCTGGGCTGGTGTCCCAATCCTTCCATTGGAAGTATTGCCTGGTTGCAGGAGATGGCCAGTTCAGGTTCATTATCCCCCATTGCTAGGAGTCTTAGGTATCGTCATTCTCAGATTCCTGGGACTTTTCATTGCCCTACATTTCTAGCTGGACCCTGAGATGCTCCCCAATTCCAGTTGCCTCTCCCAGTATTTGTTTTCCTCCATCTCCACCACCTGATACCTCCTGTTCTTATCCACTCCTGTCTACACCCCCTCCTCTACCCTCAATGTCTATTCTATTTCTCCTTCCCAGGGAGCTCCATGCATTCCTTTCTTGAGCTCTCCTTGTTACTCGGCCTCTCTGGGTAGGATGGTTTTGTACTTTACGGCTAATATTCACCTATAAGTGAATACATACCATATTACCATATTTGTCTTTCTGGGTCTGGATGATTTTTTTCTAGTTAATCAAATTACAGATTCAGACTGTGCTTTAGTTTCTTTAAGGCTGATCTAGTTCCCATTCACTCTTATCCCAATGGTACGGTTCTAAGGTTGGGAGATGGCAGGCTGAGATTTTTGTGGTATTTACTATGACTACTCTTCCTTCATGGGTCCTCCACTATGTTTTTCTTTTGAAAGCTTTATTCCTCCTCTGAGTCCTGACACTGTTTTTTGTTTTTTGTTTGTTGGCTTACTTGTTTTTTTACTCCACAACTGTGCAGGTATTTAACATTTCAGCCACAGATTTCAAACTGGCAAATTGCTTAGAAGCAAATATGTAACCAGATCTCTATCTGGATCATCTATTTTTTGCTCTACATTTTTCTCCTGCCCAGAATTTCAGCTTGTCAGTTCCTCTCTATCTTGGAGGCCCGCCAGTGTGATCAATATTTTTAACATTTTTATTTTTTAACTTTATTTTATGGGCATTAGTGTGAAGGTGTCAGATCCCTTGGAATGGGCATTATAGACAGTTGTGAGCTGCCATGTGGGTGTTGGGAATTGAACCCAAGTCCTTTGATTGAGCAGACAGTGCTCTTAACCACTGAGCCATCTCTCCACCCCTCATGATCAAGTTTTTAAAAAAGTGCTTTTCAGCATCCCCCCCCCCCCGCCCCTTGGGACAAGGTTTTACCATATATTCCAGATCTTCCTACTTTAACTGCCTGGGTTCTGAGATTGTAAATAAGCACCACCAGCTTCCAATTTATTTTCTATGGGATGGTTAATCAGAATGAAGTCTGCCATTGACAGAAGAAGTTGATTTGTGCTCATAAATGATTACTGTGGCTTTTTTTTTTTTTACCACATCTAGTGAGAGAATGAGAAATATTCTCAGAAATAAAACCACGGATATTCCAGAAAATGTTGCCACCACCCTGAAGAGGTGAATAGCTATGGGAAAGGGCCCTAGAGGGAGACCTTAGAGGATCTTGAACCACAGCTGTGTAGAGTGTAGTTTCATTGAAAATAGAAGGAAGAGACTGGGTTGGCAAATGATGGGAAAGTAGAAAGGAATTGGCTGTCTATGGCCATGTACCCATGGTGTTGCTCTGAGCGTCCTTTACAAGGCAAGGGCCATATAAGCTCTCTTCCCTATCAATATTCAGGATAATGGGTTTCTTGTTTAAATTTGAGGTTTTTTTCTTTGTGTGTGTGTGTGTGTGTGTGTGTGTGTGTGTGTAAAAAATGTATCTGAAGGGTTCAGATGAGGACAAATGTTGCTTGTTCTGTTTATCAAGCCCAGAACGATGCATTAATTCTTGAAGGAAAAGATATTGAATTTGTTTCAAAATTCATTGCTTTGATTCCACCAGCTGTAACAATTAAAAAACAAAGATATCAAAACATTTTGGGTGGCACCTGTGTTTCTGTAGAAGGAACAGTGCAGTGGGCTAGTGAATAAGATCTAACTTATCTAATTACAGAAACAATATTCTGGATTATCAAGCAAACTTGTGAGTTTGATGATGCCATAAAATAATTCTATTGACTTGTGGTGTAAAAAAAAAAAACATTACTCTGGATACAGTAGATTTAAAGGTGGCATGAGTGGTAATAGGAAGGACAAAGCTTGCTAAAATGTTGGTTTGAAGTCAGGCCTGTTGATGCACATCTGGAATCCTAGTACTCAGGAGGCAGAGGTAAGCAGATCTCTTTGAGTTCGAGGCCAGCCTGGTCTACAGAGTGAGTTCCAGGACAGTCAGGGCTACACAGAGAAGCCCTGTCTAGAAAAGAAAAGAAAAAAAAGAAGGAAAGAAAGAAAAAGAAGTTGTGCATCACCATGCCTGACAACTAGTTTTTAAAATTGTTCTTAAAATTCTGAATTGAAAGAGTACAGGCTGAGGTTGTTATAAATAGATATTATTTTGGTGGAGACCTCATTGATAACTGTAGTGGGGATCTTTAAAAAGTATTTTTATTAATGTGTATGTGTGTATGTCTGCTTGTCTGTATGTGCACCGTGTGCAGGTGTCCAAAGGAGCAAGAAGAGGTCATTGGATCCTCCGGAATAAGAGTTGCAGATGCTTGTGAGCTGCCTAAGATGGATGCTAGGAACCCAACCCAGGTCATAGCAAGTATAGTTAATGGCTGAGCCATGTCTCCATGGGTCTTGGCACATTGTCCACAC